CGCCTCAGGGACTCAGTGGGTCTTGCGGACGGAGTCTTTGCCATGCTAGCCAGCATCATGGAATTGGACAGCGTCCACGTGAACTACAACGGAGTACAAGTTGTGGACATCACTCAGGGGATCGCGGAAGGGGGCACGATTGGCCCCCTCACTTTCCCTGTGCACATGGACTCCCTGACGGAGATGCTGCTAGCAGCAGGCTGCGGGGTGGGCATAGGGGCCAATATCCCCCCCCGCCTGGGCGCAGCATCGATGGCTAGGCACAGGCACACCCAACCACAGAACAACAGCAGAGCTGCTACAGGCTCTGAAGGACAATCAACCGCTCCCCTCCTCTCGGGAGCTGGCTGCGGACGTGGACCTGGAAGCGTCCGCCCTCGCAGCGCTGGACGCAGCCGCGCCGAAGCGTCTGGCGGTCATCCTCCACGCGGACGACCCGGTGCTGCTGGCGTCTTCACGCGGCGGCGCACAGCAGTCACAGACAGCGATGTCGGAGTGGGCTTTCCGCCAGAAGAATTCCCCGCACACCAAATCCGCTAAGCAGGCAGTCATGGTCCACGGCGGCGAGCACGCCCGAGCCGCAGGTGCAGCTGCGTCGCCGGTGGTCCTCCCGCTCCGCGGACTACAACCCATTCAGCTCCACATGCCCTCGTCGCACAAGTGGCTCGGCCTGCAATGGGAAGGCAACCTGTCCCTGGAGCGTCTGCTGGGGTCCCGCCTGGGGGCGGCATCTGCGCAGTGTGCCACCCTGGCAGGACAGGTCTCCAGCGGTCTCCTACCCTTGGCCGTGGCCGCCGGGATCTTCGAGTCCCAGGTCGACCCATCCCTCCGCTTTGGCCGGTGGCTCTATGCCATTGCCGCGGGGGCCTCCTCCAGGTTAGATGAATGCTACGCAGCGTGGTGGTCGCGGGCTTTCCTTGATTGCCCGCCATGGAAGCCAGCAGCCCCGGCTTTCGCTGAGCTGGGCTGGACGCTCTCGGGCTCGGGACGCGCGGTCATAGACGTTGCTTCGAGGCGGGCGGGGCTCTGGCGGCTGCCAGAATCCGACCTCTACAAGACAGTTTTCGTACGTGCGCACCAAGCGCCCGGGCGCACGTGGTCGCGAGTATCGCTGAATCTGTTGGAGGCCTGGGAGCTGCCAGATTGGCCATTCTGGGAGGCTTCGTATCCAGGGTCCAACCTGGAGTCGTACAAGGCCAGGGTCCGGGAGATCGTAGAAGAGCGCTGTCGGAGGCAGCTGGTTCAAGAGCTGGCCCTGCACACGCGTCCGCTCCCCTATATCTCTCCCTGGGCGGAGGGGCCCGGCGCGATCTATCCCAAGCCTTATCGAGGGGGCTGAGTTGGGATGAGCTCCAAGGCCAGAGGGCGCTCGCGCGCCTTCGCCTCCGCCTGGTGCGTCTCACCCACGTAGGGGGGGCACGCTCGTGGGCCAGTCGCCAGCAGTGCATCTGCTGCGGCACCATCACCCACAGCCCCACAATGCATGTGCTCGCAGCTTGCGTGAAGACCGGCCCTCTCAGGCAAGCTTTCTGGCACGCGAGAAGAACGGATGCGCCGCCCGACAAGGAGTCCAACGTCAGGGCGGCACTGTCTGTGCGACCGGGCGATGCAGGATATGCAGAGGCGGCTGCGCTGGCGGTCTTCCTCCAGAAGGAGGAGGCAGCCTTTTGGGCAGGGCCACGGGAGTCCGAAATCCTTCTTGTCTCCAGGGGTGGCCCCCACGGTACTCCTAGTCCCGCAGTTGCGCATTGCGTCGACATGAGGCGGCCGGGGGTCCGGGCGGGGGCCCCTGCCAGAGAGGTCCCCGAAAGGAGCCTCTCCCCAGGCCTTCCCCTCCTCTTCCCCACCGCGTTCGCTTTTCGGGCAAAGGCGCGGTCTCTTTTGCGCAGGCAGGGGATCGGAGGCGGGCCGGAGCGGGCCGGGCAGCCGTGGGCTGCCCCCCCGCCCCCCCCCTCCCCCCCTGCACGCATGACTGAGCCCGCCCGTTCCCTGGGCGGACGTCGCGGAGTCGAAGCAGTCGCCGTCCCGGCCCTGCAACTCTCTGCCAAAGGACCCGAGCCCGAGGCCCAAAATACAATCCTCTACGGGAGGACACCTACCTACCTACCTACCTACCCCTCCTCCTCCTCCTCCTCCTCCTCCTCCTCCTCCTCCTCCTCCTCCTCCTCCTGCTCCTCCTCCTGCTCCTCCTCCTCCTCCTGCTCCTCCTCTCCTCCTCCTCCTCCTCCTCCTCCTGCTCTCCTCCTCCTCCTCCTCCTCCTCCTCTCCCTCTCCTCCTCCTCCTCCTCTCCTCCTCCTTCCTCTCTTCTCTCTCCTCCCCTCCTCCTCCTCCTCCTCCTCCTCCTCTTCCTCCTCCTCTCCTCCTCCTCCTCTCTCTCCTCCTCCTCCTCCTTCCTCCTCTCCTCCTCCTCCTCCTCCTCCTCCCTTCTCCTCCGCCCTCCTCCTCCTCCTCCTCCTCCTCCTCCTCCGCCCTCCTCCTCCTCCCTCCTCCTCCTCGGGTCGCCTACGGCCCCGGGGGAAACCGTGCACCCCAGACTTGCTCGCGTCGTGAGGCAATCACGGCCCGAGGTGTGGGTCGCCCTTTTCGGCCTCCACAGGGGGCCCTTCCTGGGCCCCCGGAGGCGCCGTCAAGAGAAAACCGACTCGGGGCGAGGAGCTGCTAGTGGTCCTGGGGAAGGCCCTGAGATCCAACGCTCCTGAAAAATTGGAGCAGGCGGAGTTTAACAGTTTTCAGCCTCCGGGGGCCCTCGCCGGGCCTTCGGGAGAGTCAGAAACGGCTCAGGACGAGAAACCGGTCCCGGGGAAGTGGTCCAGACCTCCGGGGCCCACGCATCGAAACAATTGGAGCAGCCGGATGTCTGGGAGGGTCCAGGCCTCCATGGGGGTCGACGTTGCGAGAAAGAAGCACGACGCCGGGGCTATGGGTCTTCTGGGGTGCTTGAGGCAATCCCAAACATCCGACGTCTTGAGTTAACGGCTTCCCCGGAGGCCTGGAGGCTCTTCGTCCCAAGTCGAGTTGGGACGAAAAGCCGGGGCTGGGGAGCCGGTCGGTTTTTGACGCTCCAGGGGGCTGGCGAGGCCACCCAGAGCCCAGAGGCCGAAAACTAGAAAAACCTCCGTCTCGAGTCTCTCGAGACGTTGGAGATCTGGGATTGAGGTCTTCCGGCACCCTCGTCGGTTCTCGGCTGTCTTGCAGCCTACCGCTCCGGGGGGCTTCCCGCGGCTGCGCCTCATTCGCAGAGGGCGTGCGTCGGGGGTGCCTGAGGAGCGTCCCGAGAAGGGCCGCCGCAGAGTCGAGCGATAGGACCCGATTAAGCCACCAGCCCAGACATTTGGCTGCTCACATTTGTTCGATGCGTGGGCCCCGAAGCTCCAGACCACCACAGAGATCCGAGGACATTTTTGTTTTCCAATCCGGCGTTTTTTCGTGGATTTCGGCCTCCGGGGTCCGTCATCGATCGGGCCCGGGGACCATCAAAAATGGATCCGGGACGATTGAACCCCCTGCAGGGAAGGGGTCGGGACCTCTGGGGCCGCGGATTGAACAAATGCCCTAGACCCCCTCGCGTCGTGAGAAAATCACGACGGAAGGTTTTTCGCAATTTTCCGCCTCCGGCGGCCCTTCCCGGGCCTCGGGGCCGTCAAAAAACGACTCGGGACGAAAAACCGGTCCAGGGAAGTGGTCCGGACCTCACCCAAAAAATTTGAGCAGCCGGATGTCTGTATTTTTCGATGCGTGGGCCCCGCGGAGGTCCGGACCACTTCCCCGGGGATAGGTTTTCCGTCTATACGCTCCCGAAGGCCCGGTGAGGGCCCCCGGAGGCCGACATCTGTCAAAATCCAGGCGTTCCAGTGTTTTTGGAGCGTCGGATCTCTGGGAGGGGATAAGTAGGCTTGCTTAAGTCGGGCCTGTTCCTCTACAGGAAAAAAATTCCAAAATATACATGAAAAATAGTATGGGGACGATTTTTGATGTTTTTTGGTATATTATGGTGCATGTGTTGGCTATTTTTCATTTTTCGTCTAAAATCCGCCTGTAGGAGACACGCCCAACCTGAAAGTAGGGGGATAGTCGGATTGACCCAAAAGAGGGTCCAGCGACAAGGGGGTGGTGCAATTGATTTGGTGCAAGAGATTTGTGGGGTTGCAATACTTTTGGGGCGTGCAATACATTCTGGGGCGCAAATATATTGCTGTATGTCTCGCGTGCAGTACATCATACTTGCAATACAACGCACTAACTACAATTCTCCGGCACAGTACATTTGCAATACAATTGCCCCAAATCTATTGCACCACCCCCGTTCAGCTGGACCCCCTTTTGGGTCACCCAGACCCCCGAATTTGTCATTTTTTCACAACGTCGACCCCCAGAGGTCTGGACCCCTTCCCCGGGACCGGTTTTTCATCCTGAGTCGTTTTTTGACGGCCCCGAGGTCCGGGAAGGGCCCCCAGAGGCCGAAAATAGCGAAAGACCTTCCATCGTGATTTTTTCACGACGCGAGGCGAGGAGGTCTGGGGTTCTTGGGTTTCGATGGTTTGCGATGGAAAGCGTGGCGCTCCCACGCCAAGAATTCGTAGACGTCCTGGGGTCTCAGGGTTGGGCTTCTCGTGGAAGGTTTCCTGTGCCCTGACTCCAGATCCGCCCTACTTTGGTTTTTTTTCCCAGTTAAAATTGCGTCGGAAATCCACCTATAAGAAGCCGAAAAAGTAGGGCGGAAATTTCTGCACCCAACATACAGTAGGGCGGAAATCCACAGAAGTAGGGCGGAAGCAGCAACAGAAAAGAAAGGGCGGAAATTGACATCAGCGGGGCTTGAAAAGTAAGGCGGAAATTCCAAGCCCTACTTACGAATTTCCCAAAGTAGCGCGGATCCGGAGTCAGGGTGGTCGGGCTCCATGCTGCATCGCCGATCCATATCGGCAACGTATCGCCGATGTCGGGGCGCGGTCCTCCCCTCCGGGAGCCGGGGTGCCGCCCGGACGTCGCCCCGATCGCGTCACGGGGGACGTGCCTCGCACCGAGCTGCAGGCGTTCGTGGGAAACCTGCCTCGCTCGTACACCGAGGAGGTTCGACGAAGAAAGAGCCACATAAACATATAACATGTTGGCGCTCTGCGCGGACTTCTTGGGTCCGCGCCTGGGCCCCCTGCAGCGGCGCCTCCGGCGCCGCCCCTGGCGCGCTCCGCGCGCCAGGCAGGGGGGTCCAGCGCGAATCCAAGAAATCCGCGCGGAGCGCCAAAAGTTTACATGCTTCTGTTGTTGCTTCTTCCTCTAGAGGTGCTGCTCGAGGAGCTCTGGGACGGCGGCTTTCGCCGCGGGGCCGACTTCGACGCGCTGCGGATGGTCGAGGACGGCGCCCGCCTTGGGTGCGTCATCGCTTTCCGGACGGCCTTCGCGAGGAACGCCTTCGTGGCCGCCTTCCACGGCAGGAAGCTGCGCGGAGCCTCCGGCCGGGCCGAGGACGTGGTGACCGTGACCGCAGCGCCAGCCGCAGGTCCGGCGAGGCCGCCGGGGCCGCCGAGCAGGCAGTGGAGCACGGTGCCCTTGGCAATGCAGCTGAAGGCCGTGCGCGCGCTGCCCTGTGCGCTGGCGTCGGCGGTGCCGCCGGGCACGCAGGGGCACGCCGCGCCTGCGGCGTCGCCGGGCAAGGCCTTCTGGCACGCGGGCCAGGACACGATGTTCTGCCCCTCGTGCGGGGACAGGCAGGCCATGTCGTCGAAGTTCTGCGGCGCTTGCGGGACTCGTCTGCCCCAGATGCTGCTGCTGCTCGGCTCGTGAGGGGGAGGTCCCCTCGCGGGGAGTGGCGCAGCAGACAGCCGCCGGGGGGAGGGGTGAGGGGATCCTCCTCGTCCTCGTCCTCCTCTTCCTTCTCCTCCTCCTCCCCCCGTCTTCCTCCTCCTCCTCCTCCTCCTCCTCCTCCTCCTCCTCCTACTCCTCCTCCTCCCACCCCTCTTCCTCACCGTCCCCCTCCCCCTCCCCCTCCCCTTTCTCCTCCCCCCGTCTTCCTCCTCCTCCTCCTCCTCCTCCTCCTCGATCCTCCTCCTCCTCCTCCTCGCCGATCCTCCTCCTCCTCCTCCTTCTCCATTTCCCCCTCCTGACGTTCACGCCCACCGAGGACTCCTGGGCGGCACGCAGGCCGCACGAAAAAGAAAGCACAGGCTTCACGACGCCAGGCGGCGAGGGCTCTCGGAGCCCCGGCCGCAGGGCAAGACCAGAGCCCCGGCTGCCACCCAAGAGGGGGAGACGCGGGGGAGGAAGAAAGACAGGGAGGAGGAAGAGGAGCAAGAGGAGGAGGAGGAGGAAGAAGAGGAGGAGAAGGATGAGGAGGAGCAGGAGGAGTAGGACCAGTGTAAACCCAAGGGTCACCAACGATGTTGGAATAGACCTTCCCTCCAAGCTCCCGCTTCACGTCACAGGCCCTGGCAACAGTTCATTTCCATTGGGGGAACTGCCTTGTTGGAAGGCAACCGTTTGAAGACCCCGAAATGTGCCAAAACATTGTCCTCGGGATTTCAAGGCCACAGATCAATCTGACTGTTGCATATTGTCGATCCTGAACCGCGCCTGAACGCCATTCGTGGGATTTCAACGCCGCGAATGAATGTAATTGTTGTGCTCTCATAACCCTGAGTACTTCCAGAATTCCAAGTTCTGTTACTTTGATCATGGAAATGTGTGAAACTCTGGCAACTGTTACCAACGAATGTGCGCGTCGCTAAGGCAGAAACACATTTTGAGAAGGATCCGCCCGCAATCCGTGACTCTCTTGCAAATGTTGAAAAGCGAATGTGCGCGGCGCTAAGGCGAGAGCCACATTTTGAAAACGGGTCCCCCGCAATCTATGAAACTCTTGCAAATGTTGAAAGCGAATGTGCGCAGCAAGAGCCACATGTTGCAAACGACCCGCCCTCCATCTAAACTATTGCCAACTTTGAATCTCCGGGGTCATAAATGGTGAGGAAGCCTCAGGCCAAACGCCAGGCCTGTCTTAAAAACTGGCCGGGGTGATGATACTTCAGGAGGGGAAAAATGCACACAGATACAATCCATCGTCGATCCCCAGGGACATGTGCAACAATAGGAGAGTGTAGGGGGGGGGGGGGGGGGGGGGGCGAAAATGCCCCCCCCCAAAAAAAAACAAATGGGAAAAATGGGGTATCATGGGATTTGTATGTGTTGGTTTGTGTGTCCCTGGGCCCCTGCAAGCATGACCAGTCACCTGGGAGGGGGGAGGGCGGGCAAGGGGGGAGGCCGTGGGCGCCTGTGCGCGCCGGGCACCCAACGGGGTTCCCTCCTCGTCCTCCTCCTTTCGGCGCTGCTAAAATTAGGTCGGGCATGTCCCTCTACAGGAGGGATATCCAAAAATAATCAAAAAATGATCTGGGGACGATTTTTGGACTCTTTTTGGGCATTTGGGGAACATGTTTTGAGTATTTTCAATTTTCCGCCCAACATCCCCCTGTTGGGGGACAGGCCCGACTTAATGCTAAACTTAGGTCGGGCATGTCCCTCTACAGGCGGATTTTGGACGACAAATTAGTGATAGTCCACACATGTCCAACCTACCCTGACACATAGATTAGTGAATTGTATGTTTTCGGTTCTCGAGAGGGCGCCGCGGCCGTCATTTTCCAGGCCTGCGCCCGCCAGGTTTGGGCACGAGGTCGTTTTCACTAAGCCACGCTTTACTAAAGGGAGGCCTGTCCATCCCCGACTTCGGTCGGGCATGTCCCTCTACAGGCGGATTTTGGACGAGAAATTAATGATAGTCGACAACTGCCCAAACATAGTCCCCCAACAAATACTTAAAAAATAGTCCCCTGATTATGTTTTGACTATATTTGAATATCCCTCCTGTAGAGGGACAGGCCCGACTTGATGCCAAACCCTGACATGTCGATTAGTGAGTTGTTCGTTTTCGGTTCTCGAGAGGGCGCCGCGGCCATCATTTTCCAGGCCTGCGGCCGCCAGGTTTGGGCACGAGGTCGTTTTCACTAAGCCACGCTTTACTAAAGGGAGGCCTGTCCATCCCCGACTTTGGTCGGGCATGTCCCTCTACGGGCGGATTTGGGACGTCAAAGTAAAGATAGCCAACCAATATCCAAAACGAGCCCCCAGAAAAATACAAAAAAAAATCGGCCCCTGATTGTTTTTTGCTATGTTTGAACACTGCTTTTATCAGACTAGCTGTCTCCCGAGATCTTTAAGCACAGTTGCACAATCTAGCAGCAAGAGTCACCCGGCTCGCCCGCTGATGCATGGGCTTCTCCTGCCTCGATGTTTTCTTGCCTTTCGTCCTCCACCCGTTCCCGCTCTCCCAGTCCCCTGCCTTCCCTCCTCGCCCCTCCGCGCCCCTCGTCCTTCTCTCCCTCGTCCCTACGGGAGGGTTTGGGACGACAAAGTAAAGATAGTCAACACAGATTGAAAAAATCGTCCCCTGACTGCTTTTTTTTGCTATGTTTGAACATCTTCCTCTGTAGAGGGACCTTTTATCAGACTAGCTGTCTCCCGAGATCTTTAAGCACAGTTGCACAATCTAGCAGCAAGAGTCACCCGGCTCGCCCGCTGATGCATGGGCTTCTCCTGCCTCGATGTTTTCTTGCCTTTCGTCCTCCACCCGTTCCCGCTCTCCCGATCCGCTGCCTTCCCTCCTCGCCCCTCCGCACCCCTCGTCCTCTTCTCCCTCGGCGAAACGGAACATCTCGAAGCTCCAAATATCCAAAAAGGGTCCCCCAACAAAAATACAAAAAAAACGCTACCGAGGAACCCCACATACTCATATTATGGTTGGAGTGATGAGAGCTGAAGTGAAGCATGTGAGAATGATGTTGGTGGCCGTTGCCCCGCCGATACCGCTGTGCCCTGGACGTGCAAGGTATTGGGCCACCAATTTTTCAGCTGGCGGCGGTACGCGTGAAATGCGGGGACCACCGTCGCTTCAGAGCAGCAGCGTAAGCCTGCCAAGCTTACTTCGCCGCCATGCTGAATCATTTCTTTCTTCAGCAACGAGCACGGAGGCGGCAGCTCGCCCATGGCAATTTTAGGCGGCATGGCTAGCGCGCCTGCGCAACAACCAACTGCGGCCTTCGATTAGGTACCCTGGCGCTCCGAGCTGGCTTGAGCCAGAGTACTTACAGATCTGGATACTGCGCAAACCCATGCAAGTGCAACTGATGGAATGCACCCGCGATACCTGCCCCCTACGCACCCCCCGTGGCGCGGAGAAAATGCCACGCCTGCCACGCCCCGCGACCCTGGGACGGATAGAATCCGCGGTGACGGACCACCCCCTGCGCACCCCCTGTGGAGTGGAGAACATGCCACGCCTGCCACGCCCCGCGACCCTGAGACGGATAGAGAGACCAATGAGAAACGACCCTCTGCGCACCCTCTCTGGTGTCGAGAAAGTGCCACGCTTGCCACGCCCCGCGACCCTGAGACGGATAGAGAGACCAATGAGAAACGACCCTCTGCGCCCCCCCCTCTGGTGTCGAGAAAGTGCCACGCCTGCCACGCCCCGCGACCCTGAGACGGATAGAGAGACCAGTGAGAGACCACCCCTTGCGCACCCCCTCTGGTGTCGAGAAAGTGCCACGCCTGCCACGCCCCGCGACCCTGAGACGGATAGAGAGACCAATTAGAAACGACCCTTTGTGCACCCTCTCTGGTGTCGAGAAAGTGCCACGCCTGCCACGCCCCGCGACCCTGAGACGGATAGAGAGACCAGTGAGAGACCACCCTCTGCGCACCCTCTCTGGCGTCGAGAAAGTGCCACGCCTGCCACGCCCCGCGAGAAAGTGCCACGCCTGGATTGAGATACCAGAGACCAACGTGAGACGGATAGAGACCACCACCCTTGCGCACCCCTCTGGTGTCGAGAAGTGCCACGCCTGCCACGCCCCGCGACCCTGAGACGGATAGAGAGACCAGTGAGAGACCACCCCCTGCGCACCCTCTCTGGTGTCGAGAAAGTGCCACGCCTGCCACGCCCCGCGACCCTGAGACGGATAGAGAGACCAGTGAGAGACCACCCCCTGCGCACCCTCTCTGGTGTCGAGAAAGTGCCACGCCTGCCACGCCCCGCGACCCTGAGACGGATAGAGAGACCAGTGAGAAACCACCCCCTGCGCACCCTCTCTGGTGTCGAGAAAGTGCCACGCCTGCCACGCCCCGCGACCCTGAGACGGATAGAGAGACCAGTGAGAGACCACCCCCTGCGCACCCTCTCTGGTGTCGAGAAAGTGCCACGCCTGCCACGCCCCGCGACCCTGAGACGGATAGAGAGACCAGTGAGAGACCACCCCCTGCGCACCCTCTCTGGTGTCGAGAAAGTGCCACGCCTGCCACGCCCCGCGACCCTGAGACGGATAGAGAGACCAGTGAGAGACCACCCCCTGCGCACCCTCTCTGGTGTCGAGAAAGTGCCACGCCTGCCACGCCCCGCGACCCTGAGAGAGACCAGTGAGAGACCACCCTTGCGCACCCTCTCTGGTGTCGAGAAAGTGCCACGCCTGCCACGCCCCGCGACCCTGAGACGGATAGAGAGACCAGTGAGAGACCACCCCCTGCGCACCCTCTCTGGTGTCGAGAAAGTGCCACGCCTGCCACGCCCCGCGACCCTGAGACGGATAGAGAGACCAGTGAGAGACCACCCCCAACGCACCCTCTCTGGTGTCGAGAAAGTGCCACGCCTGCCACGCCCCGCGACCCTGAGACGGATAGAGAGACCAATGAGAGACCACCCCCTGCGCACCCTCTCTGGTGTCGAGAAAGTGCCACGCCTGCCACGCCCCGCGACCCTGAGACGGATAGAGAGACCAGTGAGAGACCACCCCCTGCGCACCCTCTCTGGCGTCGAGAAAGTGCCACGCCTGCCACGCCCCGCGACCCTGAGACGGATAGAGAACCGCGGTGAGAGACCACCCCCTGCACGTCTGTGTGCTGTTTGCCTGTTTGCTGCGTGTGCGTGCTGTGTCTGTTTGTGCTGGTATTGTGTACGGGTGCTGTTTGTGTGCTGTGTGTCTGTGTGCTGCGTGTATGGTGGATGTATGTGATGACTGTGATGTCGACTGTGGATGTGTGTCTGCTGTGTGCTCATGTGTCTGCTTGTGCTGATGTGGGGAACCAGAAAAAGAGAGGGAATCATCACACCAGCCCCTGGATGTGTGGAGGGAAGAGGGAAGGAGGGGTGAGGAGGAAGAGGAGAAACGCGGGTGCGACGCGGCAGGGAAAGAAAACCAGAACCCCACTATGCATGTGGGGGAAAAAAAAACAATACGTTTCCTGAGTATGGTTTGGCTACTTTTGCACATCTTCCCCTGATCAGAGGGACAGGCCCGACTGGATGCCAAACGGAACACCTCGAAGCTCCGAGAAGGGCTGCAGCTGATCTGGCGGTCCGAAAAAAAGGATCCTCTGGGAGAGGAGGAGGAGGAGGAGGAGGAGGAGGAGGAGGAGGAGGGGGAGGAGGAGGAGGAGGAGGAGGAGGAGGAGGAGGAGAAGGAGGGCGGAGGGGGGCGGAGGAGGAGGAGGAGGAGGAGGAGGAGGAGGAGGAGGAGGAGGAGGAGGAGGGAGGAGGGCGGAGGGACAGGCCCGACTGGATGCCAAACGGAACACCTCGAAGCTCCGAGGCGGGCTGCAGCTGTTGCAGCAGCCGCGGCTCGCCTCCCGGGGGGCTGCCTCGCCACGCCACGGCCGGGCGCGCCCTTAAGGAGCGCCTGGTGCGCCTGGGCCCCGGGAGGGGTCCGGGGGCCGATCCCCAGACCTCCTCGCGTCGTGAAAAATCGCAGGCCTAGAGGTTGACACCAACATCAATTTCGGCGGTGTGCCTCCACCGAGGGAAGAAGATCCCGATCTCGGCTCCCCGGGGGGAGGGCCGCGCCCCGTCATCGGCGATAAGTCGCCGATATGGATCGGCGATGCAGCATGGAGCCCGACCACCCTGACTCCGGATCCGCCCTACTTTGGGGAAATTCGTAAGTAGGGCTTGGAATTTCCGCCTTACCTTTCAAGCCCCGCTGATGCCAATTTCCGCCCCACTTTTCTGTTGCTGTTTCCGCCCTACTTCTGTGGATTTCCGCCCTACTTTCTGCTGGGTGCAGAAATTTCCGCCCCATTTCGTCGGCTTCTTACAGGTGGATTTCTGACGCAATTTTGAGTTGGAAAAAACACAAAGTAGGGTGGATCTGGAGTCAGGGAGACCTCCTCGCGTCGTGAGAAAGTCACGACGGAGGTCTTTCGCTATTTTCGGCCTCCGGGGGCCCTTCCTGGGCCTCGTGGCCGTCAAAGAACGATTCAGGAGAAAAAACTGGTCCCGGGGAAGGGGTCCAGACCGCTGGGGGTCGACGTTGTGAAAAAATCACAGCGTCGGAGGTCTGGTGTTGTCTCAACTTCAGTATCGTTTGACCGACCCCCATCCCCATCCCCATCCCCGTCGAGACACCCGCCAAATTATACCCCCCCAGTTGGGATACACCCCTCGAAGCCCGAAGGGAACGGCTCGTATCCCCATCTAGGGGGGCAAATCGAACGGTGGGGCCCAGGACACGCCGCTGGGGATGGGGATCGGTTCAACGATACTCACAATTGGCCCTGCTCCGAGAAGTACAAATTCGGAGAGAAGCACGATGCACATGAGAGGGGATCCCGCCAGCTGAAGTCGTATCACGGCCCACCCCCCAGGGGGGCACAGCCATGCCGCCAGAGATGTTCCACACGCGGGTCGAAAGTCATGTTGCTCCCATCGTACTGAAGGACCACATCCCATAAATAATTTCGAGCACCCAGAGAAGTATCGAAGCAGTGTCGAACGACTATCGCCTCCCAGGGCCCGACTCGTGAAAACCCTCCAGCTTCGGTACTGTCTTGGTGCTCGAAGTTTTTTCTGGCGATCCAGGCTAAAGTAGGCTGGAACATCATACATCGAGAGGCATTCGAGACCCCGCAGCTGCTTCCGGGGCCTCGAACACCTGCTAGCCCGTCGTGGACGCCAGTTGGGCAGTCTTCCCAAAAAAGAACTATGGCGGCCAGGCAACGGCACACCCTTTGCTCCTCCTCCTCCTCCTCCTCCTCCTCCTCTTCCTCCTCTTCCTCCTCGTCGTCCTCCTCCTATTTTCACGTCTGGCATGTCCCTCTACAGGAGGAATATCCAGGAATAGTCAAAAAATAGTCTGGAGACGATTTGTCTACTATTTTTGATCATGTTTGGGTATTTTTGGGCTATGTTTGAGTTTCCCTCCAAAATCCGCCCGTAGGGGACATGCCCGACCTAATCCTATTTGTCTCTCCTCGTCCTATTCCTCGCTGGGCCTCCTCCCTCCTCCTCCTCCTCCTCCTCCTCCTCCTCCTCCTCCTCCTCCTCCTCCTCCTCCTCCTCCTCCCCCTCTTTCTCCTCCTCCTCCTCCCCCTCGTCTTCCTCCTTGGCTGGTGACGGGAAGCCGGGGGCGGCAGCGGCCGGCCAGGGGGGGGACCACACGGATTTTTCAAGGAGGTCCCGCCGCCTCGTTTCGGCCAGGGCCGCATTTCAAGAATGGGGGGCCGAGCAGCGTCAGCAACGCCCGCTGCGCGAGCTCCTTGTCTGGATTTTTTAAGGGATGCCAGGGGGAAGGTACCAGGCTTCTGAAGTCAGCAGCTTCGAGGCCTGCCACGAGCCACACGTGCGACGTACGAAGCACGCAATTCGTTTTGAATGCTGAACGCATGCTTTCATGTCTTTGTGTTTGGCGCCCTGTGCCGTCATATCGACAGGTCCTGCCGACAGGCATCTCACTGGTCCCGATTGGGGACGCTGGACAATCATAGTATCCAGCTGCCTGCGGCAAGTCCGGCCACCGTGCCAGCCCAGTTTTCTGGATGGCGACTGTTCGAGGGGACATGGAAGGCCGTCACGTGTGACACCTCGTGTCTCCGGGCTTGGAAGGGCCGTGATGAGGATGATGCGAGTTATGAGGATCATACGATTGATGCCGACAATGATGATGAGGATGTGATGATGATGGTGATGATGGTGATGATGATGATGATGATGATGATGATTTGTTGATAATGATGATGATGTTGGTGGTGGTGGTGATAGTGATGATGCTGATGCTGCTGATGATGATGATGCTGATGTTGATGATGATGCTCATGACGGTGATAATGACGGCGACGACGACGATGCTGCTGATGATGATGTGGATTAGCATACCGGTAATGACGACGACGTGGACGATGACGATGATGGTGACGTTGACGTGGTTTATGATGACGCCGGCAACGACGACGAGGAGGATGATGATGGTAATTAGAATTATGATGACGATGATGATGACGATGATGATGACGATGGTGAGGATGAGGATAAGGACGAGGGTGATGATGCTGAGAATGCTCCTGCATGTTGATTATGATGCAGCAGATGATGATGCTGTTGATGATGATGATGATGCTGGTGATGATGCTGATGCTGATGCTGATGCTGCTGCTCCTTATGATGATTATGATGATGATGATGATGATGATGATGATGATGATGATGATGATGATGATGAATATGATGATGATGCTGATGCTGATGATGATGCTGATGCTGATGGTGATGATGATGATGATGATGATGACCCTGATGATGATGATGATGATGATGATGATGATGATGATGATGATGATGATGATGATGATGATGATGATGATGATGATGATCATGATGAAACTCGGTTGGGCTTTCTTGGCTTTCCGTGAGGCCGTCTTGGGGGGTCCTTAGGGCCTTCTTGTGCTGTCTTCGGGCCCTCTTACACCGCCTTGGGGCTCTCTTGGGCCGTCTTGGGGTCCTCTTGGCCGTATGGTCTGTGTCTGGAGGCCGTCTTGGCGCCGTCTTGGACCGTCGAAGGGCCTTTAAGGCCGCCTTGGGTCCCACGGGAGGTTCTCTTGGGCCGTCTTGGGGCTTTCTTGGATGCCTCTTGGGCCATCGTGGAGTCCTCTTGGGCCCTCTTGAGCTGACGGCAGAAGAAACAGGCGAGAATGCGAAAATCATTCCAAGAGACCGGAAAGTCAATGATGGTGGCTTCTGCAGACCTTGTTGGAAGTCCTCTTGTGGCCATTTTGGACCCTCTTGGAGGCATCTTGGGCCGAGGCATCTTGGGCCCTCTTGGTGTCCTTGGTTGCCTGCACGGGCCGTCTTGGAAGTTCGGGACGCATATCCATCGCTTTTAACAAGGGATCGTTGTTTGGGAGGCCCTGGAGCGCTCAGAAGCAGCAGCTGGGAATGCGGGAAGTGCACTATCCTCGAGCGGGTGCGCGTGAGATGATAGGCCTAGCAGTTAGCTGCCATGCGGGAATTGCGCAATCCTCGAGCGGGCGCGCATAAAATGAGAGTTCAGGCCCTAGCTGCCATGCGGGAAGTGCACCATCCTCGAGCGGGCACGCGTGGAAGTGGGGTTCAGCCGTTCGCTGCCATGCGGGAGGAGCACCCTGAGCGGTCACGCGTGGAATGGGGGTCCAGGCGTTAGCTGCCATGCTGGAGGTGCACCATCCTCGAGCGGGCACGAGGGAAGTGGCCTCGGTGAGCAGGGTGGACGCACGCAACAGTTCACGAGTACACCCTGCGAAATGCTTAAGAAATCATGGGTTAAGAAATTCATAGTCTCAGAACTTGAATAAGAACCCAACATTTCTATCAAAATCTTAAGATGTACATTGAAACGTTAAGAATAATCGAGACTCTGGCCGAGAACGTAAGTTTTCTTAACCATCGCCTAAGGTGTAGAGTGAGGGGTGATCTTCTGTTAGTCATAAGAACCTCACTATCAGAGTGAAGCGGGCCGAACGGTCATTCATTGTCCTTGGGTGCGTGGCTGAAGTGGGGCGCTGCTGCGCGAATTCGATTTGTTTTTCTTGAACCCCCTATCATTTCTGAAGAATCAGTATTGTTGATCTCCCCTCCGGTAACCCTTGTGTTTTTCAATTGAAGTGCTCCTCCCTGGGCTCACACCTTGTTTTTAGAAGGGAAACCTCGGTGTCACCAAACTGTGCCCCTGGCCCCCCTGTTTACAACAACGGCTCCCGCCTGATGCGTCCTCACAATTTCCGAGAAATCGCAGTCTCGCGCGGGACTTCCTCACAATTCATGCAGGAATCGCGCTCTCGCGTGGGATCTCTGTGCAGTGTATTCAGACGCCGCGCCCTCGACACGCAGGGAGCACGTTCTCTCGCTCTGGCCTTTCTCACGATGTGCCTGGGAATCGCGCTGTCGCTCGAGACTTCCTCGCGATTCCTGCAGGGCGCGCGCTTCAGCAACCCGCCTGCTTGACCTGGCCGCCTGTGGCCGCCTTCCCGACCTGCCCGCTAGGGTCTGCCCGCCTGGTCTGCCCGTCTGGTTCTGCCACGTGTTTTCTGCTCCTAGCCCCACTTCTGTTTTCCTCTGTGCACCATCCCTCCCCCTGCCCCTTCCATCCGCCCTTTCTTCTGTTGTTGTAGGGGTTGCACTGGATGCGCGTGGCAGGTAAGGAGGATATACCCCCAAGGGGGTTATGATCGAAGACGAAGAGGGCGCATACCGAGGGTTTGGGGTATACGTGTTGAACGGCACGCGGGCAGATAGGAACAAGCAGTCTTAAAGTGAGTCCTTTCGCTTCGCGGGGGTGCACGTCCGGACCACGTACAGTCCAGTTGTTGCGGGGCCTCTTGGGAGCTTCTTTGTGGCCTCGTGGAGGTGTCTTGGGTGGGGGCTTCCTGGGGTCTCTTGGGGGCGTTTTGGGGCGTCTTGGGGCGCTCTTGTGGCGTGTGGCCCATTCGGAGGCCGTCCTGGGGGTCCCTCGCGGCCGTACTGGGGGCCATAAGAGGCCGCCTTGGGGCTCTCTGGAGGTCCTCTTGGGCCGTCTTTGGAGCCTCTTGAGGCGTCTGGAGGGTCTCTGTGGGCCGGCTTGAGCCCTCTTCGGCCGCCTACGGGCCCTCTTAAGGGCCCTCTTGAGGGCTTATTGGGCCGTCTTGGAGCCATTTCGGAGGCTTCTTGGGCCGTCCTGGGGCTTGGGGAGTCGACAAAGGCGAGAACGCCAAAACCTTTCAAAACCCAATGGGAAATCCATGATTTTTGTTTCTGGAAGCGCTCTCGGAGGTCCTCTTGGCGCCCTCTTGGGGCATCTGGTTTTTTGGGGGGGCTCTCTTGGGGCCATCCTGTACCGTCTTGGTCACGTCGTCGCGGGGCCTCTTGGGAGCCTCTAGGAACAAACAGTCTTAAAGGGATTCCTCTCGCTTCGCGGGGTGCACGTCCGGAGCACGTACAGTCACGTGGTCGCGGGGCCTCTTGGGAGCCTCCTGGGGGCCTCCTGGAGGCCTCTTGGGAGCTTCTTTGGGCCTCTTGGGGATTTTTTGGGGGCCTCTCACCCCCCTCCTTGTCATACTCCTTCCCCATCTTCCCTTCCAGCGCCGGCTCTAATCATGGGCGCCGCCGTGACCAACTTCCACCTGGCTGGCGCTGCGCCGCAGTTCGCCCAGGGAGGAAATAACAGTACACTCCAGTCGTTGTGTGGTCTTGTGGGGGCTTCTGTGAGGCCTCTTGGAGGCTTCTTGGGGATTTCTTGGAGGCCTCTTGGGTTTTTTTTGAGCCCCTTGGGGGTCTCACTTGGGGGCCTCTCGGGGCCTCTTGGGGGCGTCTTGGGCCGTCTTGGGGCGCTTTTGCGCCGTTCCGCCCCTTCGGAGGCCGTCTTGGGGGCCTCTCGCGGCCGCCTTGGGGTTCTCTTGGGGTCCTCTCGGGCCGTCTCAGGGGCTTTTTGGACCGCCTTGGGGGCCTCTTTGGGCCGTCTTGGGGCCCTCCTGGGCCGTTTGGGGGCCCTCTTGGGGGTTTCTTGAGCCTTTTTGGAACAATTTTGGCGGCTGCCTGGGCGGCCATGGGCTTCTGAGAATCGAGAAAGGCGAGAACGCTAAAATCATCAGAAAACCAAAAGAAAATTAAGGATTTGGGCCTCTGGAGGCACTCTTGGGGGTCGTCTTGGGGCCCTCTTGGGACGTCGCAGGAGTTTCACACTATTGGGGCCACCATGGACCGTATTGGAGCCGTCTTGGCCCGTCTTGAAGCCATATGGAGCCGTCTTGAGGCCCGACTGGGCTTCCCAGAGGGCCCAAGGTCCCGAATCATAAATTTTACGTAGGTTTTGGTACGTTTTTGAGCCCCACATGAGGGTCTCCATCTTGGGTCGACGGATGAGGCGTAGCCCCTGGGGGGGGGTAGGGGGGAGACATAATAATGTAACGCAATACAAGATGTGGCAATTATGCAACAATTGGACACATTATGTACGTTGCATTATCGCCTCCGCAGAAAACGCTGTTGCGGGGCCTCTTGGGGGCCTCTAGGAACAAACAGTTTTAAAGTGATTATATAGGCTTACGCCACATCCGCCGACCCCTATATAAACTATTGCGCCTCCAGGATTGCAGTCCATGAAGCTTGTCCGAGTCACGGCACGGCGTTCGACATCGTTCCTGTTGCTTCGTTGCTGTTATCATACCTCTTGGTGCTCTTTTGTAGCCTTCTTGTGGCATCTTGGCCTGTCTGCAGGCCATACCCGGCCGCCTCGAGGCATATTGGGCCAAGTTTTGGGGCCTCTCGGGGGCTTCGTGGGGGCTTCTTGGAGGCCTTTGAAGTTCTTTTGGGGATCCCTCGGGGCCTGTTGGGGTGTTCTTGGGGCAGGCTGGGGGCGTCTTGGGGCCGAAGGCTCGAAAAGGTGCAATTTGGACTCCGTCTTGGAGCCGTCTGGGGGCCCTCTTGGGCTGTCTTGGGGGCTTCGTGGGCTGTTGTTGGACCCTCCTCGGCCCTTTTTGGGGGCCCCTTTGG